TGGGCGTGGTGGTGCATGCCTGTAATCCCAGCTACTTGGGAGGCTGAGGCAGGAGAATTGCTTGAACCTGGGAGATGGAGATTGTAGTGAGCCAAGATTATGTCACTGCATTCCAGCCTGGGTGAGGGAGTAAGACGTTGTCTCAAAAAAAAAAAAAATTAAATTAAAAAAATTTCCTATCTTCTGAAGTTCTAAGCCAAAGCTATTTTTAAAACATCAATAAAAAAATTTAAGTTACTTACTTGCATTATCTTTGTTAGCCATGGCATTCATGCCAATGTTATCAAACTTGGATCCCATATTTTCATCCAATAGATGGCCAAACTTAAACAAAAAGATAAATTTATTAGAAAACTAAAAATAATGTAGAATAGCTAGACTCTTAGAACAGTACATTAGCCGTACCTCTTCAGCGGATACAAATAGGCTGGAATCATTGAAGTTTCTTTTCTTTTTTCTTGGCCCTAAAAAAATTTGTAAGTCTACATTATTCAATTATAAATCTAATGATTTTTTAAAAATGCAATGCAACATGATTTTATTTTAAAAATTATACTTGGGTAAAAACACAATTGCAATAATCTTCTAGCACCATTAGGTAGCTGGCATTTAAATATAATTTAAGTTAGTATATAATATTTTTAAAAAGCTAACAACATCCTAATAGAACTGTTCAGATGACAAGAGTGTCTTCTTGCTTTTCAGATTTGGCCAGTGATCGAAGTTTACCCATAAGGGAAATAACACAGTATCAAGCAATAGTAAAGTTATCAGTTTGACATGGATGGGTTTTGAAATACTTAAGACAAAACATATAAAATTTAGTTCAGGGCTCTTATTCTTTGGAGTGTAAGGAAATTGAAAGTATGTTTATTATGCTATAAATGAAGTTCTGTTTATAACACTGAAAGAGGTTCTCCTTTAAACAACACCTACCTGTAGTACTGAAAGTATAAACTTTTCCTGAAAAGTCTCTTTTCCTGAAACAATTATTCAAACTCTGCATCTCTGATATCAATGTCTCTAGCAGTACTAGAGCTCTATTTTAAAAAGAGCTTTACTAAATACACATCATAACATTCAGCTATTATGTGTATTAACGCATTTAAGTGTATTAATGCATTTTAGTAAATTTACAGACTTGTTCAACCACAACCACAGTCTGATTTTAGAACATTTCCATCAACTTCAAAAGATCCTTGGTGCCATTTGTAGTCCTCCAACCCACCTCCAATCTATCTTGTTTCTATGACTTGCCTTTTCTGGCTGTTTCATATAAATGGGATCATATGACATGTGGTTTCCTGTATCTGGCTTTTTTCATTTAGCATAACGTTTTTGAGGCTCATCCATGTTGTAGTACTCCATGCCATGTTGTGGGCTACATAATATTCCATTGTATGGATATACCACATTTTACTTATCAGTTAATGGACATTTAGGTTGTGTCCACTTTTTGGCATTAATAGTGCCGCTATGAACAATCATGTACAAGTCTTTGTATCAGAGCCACTTTTGATAAAATAGTTTCTAAAGCATTTCATCTTCATTATTATTAGGGTGATATGTTACTTGATAGCTGTATAATACACATTTGCATGCAATAGGAAGGTTTTTTTTGGGTTTTATTCATCCTGTAGCCATGCATCTGTGACCTCAAAGAGTAGGCACTTCTGTACTGTGCTGGTTCCTTAGTTTCTTTTATCCTGCTCCCGCCGCCACTTCAGCTTCAAGTGTGCAACACCATGCCTAGCTAATTTTTGATTTTTGATTTTTTTTTTTTTTTTTTGAGACAGAGTCTCACTTTGTTGCCAGGCTGGAGTGCAGGGGCACGATCTTGGCTTACTGCAACCTCTGCCTCCTGGGTTCAAGCGATTCTCCTGCCTCAGCCTCCCAAGTAGCTGGGCCTACAAGTGCGTGCCAGCATGCCCAGCTAATTTTTGTATTTTTAGTAGAGATAGGGTTTCATCATGTTGGCCAGGATGGTCTTGATCTCTTGACCTTGTGATCTACCCGCCTTGCCCCCAAAGTGCTGGGATTACAGGCGTGAGCCACCACGCCCGGCCATTTTTGATTTTTTGTAGAGATAGTGTCTCCTTGTGTTGCCCAGGCTGATTAAAGCTTCTATAAGGTATGTTTATTCTTAAGGATATCTACTCTAACACTTGCAAATGTAGGGTGATCAATCAGTAAATTAATACATCTGAATCAATTAATGAATCTGTTTAAAATTCCTTGCCTCTTTTTGTTTCAATCAGTTCTGTTGGGTATTCTTTAATCTGCATCCAAAACTATTATCAATTGAGATCTGAAATCCTTTCAGGCTAATGTCTTCTGAAACAGTACTTTACTATTTGAAACAAGCTGAGAGAGCATCTTTTTTAACATTAAAAATTTTTTTCTTCTCCTCAAATTCCTTTTACCAGCATCTTTTAATAATAGGCTCAGTAGAACTTGAAGTAAAGCAACACTTCTTTTCTGAGGGATGGTCTTGAGAAAAACTGCCTATATCTCATCTTATGCTAATATTAAAACAGGATCTTAGATACTCAAGGGAAGACAAAATCTGGAAGACAACATGTTACAATTTAAATATATATCAGTTAAATCATCTAGTCATTAGGGGACTAAGGAATTGACAGCAGTATTTGAAAGAGTTGATAAAATTTTGTAGGCATGAGTCTCTGAAACACTACTACCAATATGTAAATGAAACTTTTTAAAACATTATTTTTAACTTTGCAGATCTATTTTTAGTCATCAGTATTTAGCAGTAACAGAAGCCAGAGAGGCACTTGAGGCAAAGTATGTATAGTGCTTTCTACATTTTTATCAAAAATCTTAAGACTGTTACCTGATATAGCACTTTTTTCTTTTATTAGCACCTTGTAAGTGTTACACTGTGAAGCATAATCTTGTAAGATATACTTTGAAAAATGTTAAAGAATATATTAGCAGAAAGAACAGTTCGTATCATAATAAAGGAGCATGGATTATTGCAAGGGTCAAATGGCAAAGAATAATGGTTGAGAAAAGAAAAAGATAACAGGTGTCTGAAAAATCCAGGATTTTATAATTGAATGGTTTAAAAATGAATGAGCAGAGATTAGCATGTGAATCTCTGGACTAGGTAAGGAAGATCTGCATTCAAATATGAGTGGGCACCATCCAATATGCTGGGGCCTTGGAGAGAACAAAACATAGCAGAGGCAAACATGTTGATCTGCTGTGCTGAGAAGGAAAATGGTGGATAAGGGGACAGGACTAACATGCAGCTCCCACATGGACGGACAGAACAGCGTGTGGCAATGTGTTTAGTCTCCTTAATCAAAATAATTATCAGCTAAGAATTTGGTATCCAACAAAACTAAGCTTCATAAATGAAGGAGAGATCAATGCTGAGAATTCGCCACTACCAAGCTGGCACTACAAGAAATGCTGAAAGGAGTTCTAAATCTTTTTTTTTTTTGAGATGGAATCTTGCTCTGCCATCCAGGCTGGAGTGCAGTGGTGCAATCTTGGCTCAGTGTGACCTCTGCCTAATGGGTTCAAGTGATTTTTGTGCCTCAGCCTTCTGAGTAGCTGGGATTATAGGGGCTTACCAACATGCCCAGCTAATTTTTGTATTTTTTGTAGATATGGGGTTTTGCCATGTTGGCCAGGCTGGTCTTGATCTCCTGACTTCAGGTGATGCCCGCCTGGGCCTCCCAAAGTGCTAGGACTTCAGGCGTGAGCCACTACACTCAGCCTAGGAATTCTAAATCTTGAAACAAAACCTTGAAGTACACCAAAATAGAGCCTCCTTAAAACATAAATCTCAAAGGGCCTATAAAATAACAATGAAAAAACAACAACATCAAAGTATTCAAGCAACAACTAGCATGATGAATAGAACAGTACCTCACATCTCAAATAATAATGTTGGATGTAAATGGCCTAAATGCTCCTCTTAAAAGGTACAGAATGTGAGATTGGACCACCAACCAAGAATCTGCTGTGTTCAGGAGACTCACCTAACACATGACTCACATAAACTTAAAGTAAAAGGGTAGAAAAAGATATTCCATGCAAATGGAAACCAAAAGCAAGCAGGAGTAGCTATTCTTATATCAGACAAAACAGACTTTAAAGCAACAACAGCTAAAAAAAGACAGAGGGACATTACATACTACTAAAATGATTAGTTCAACAAGAAATATCATAATTCTAAATATATATGCATCTACCACCAGAGCTCCCAAATTTATAAAACCATTACTATTAGACCTAAGAAATTAGATAGATGGCAACACAATAATAGTGGGTGACTTCAATACTCCACTGACAGCCTTAGACAGGTCTTCAAGACAGAGTCAACAAAGAAACAATGGACTTAACACCCTAGAACAAATGGACTTAACAGATACCTACGGAATATTCTACCCCAAAACTGCAGAATATACATTATTTTCATCAGCACATGGAGCATTCTCAAGGATAGACCATATGGTGGGCCACAAGTCTCAATAAACTTAAGAAAACTGAAATTGTATCAAGTACCCTCTCACA